GTGTGTGTATGTGTGGGATGATTTAACAGGATGAACACAGGGGCATGGTGGAGGAGTTAGAGAATTCCCAGAGTAGTGCAGCCCCATGAGAAACGAGGAGTATAGGTTCATGTGCCACCTCACCACCCAGTGAACCTGGTCCTCCCCTGTTACCATTCCCTTTGGGCAATTTTAATAGGAAGTGCTTTTTGCCTTTCTCACAAGCCAAATTAATTTTCCTTCTGAGTGTAGTCCATAGCTAAGGTTAGTTCTCTCTTAGGGTAATTCTATAAGTTTAGAGACCTATAAAATGATCCTGTAGTAGAAAAAGGGATTCATTGGAACAGGAGGGAATGCCTCTCTAGCAACATAAGGTAATTTCTTTTCTAACTGAAGTTCAAACCTTTAGAGTAATCTTAAAGTTTCTATCAACTGAAGACCTGCATACACTATTTAGCTTACTTACTTAGCTTATGATCTTATCATTCAAATGAAGGAGAAAGCTACCATGAATATTTTGTTGTTTTGCATTTTCTGTGAGGTGAAAAAAGGTCCTTATCTGATATGCAGTGATTTTTTAATACATGCATGGAAACAAGGGCCCTTTTACTTACATATTTGTAGATACAAAGAAAAGTCATATTTTGAAGTTCCAAAAGGAGAGTATTGGTGGTAGCAGTGTCACCAAGAGGTGCTTTGTGAGCAACTCCCCAAGTTCACACTCAATTTATATAAATCCAGAAGTTATCGGTGTTCAGTTCAATAGTTATGGGTGTATTTCTTTCTGGTAGCCAGCATGATCTCGTGTAAATGTAGGGTCATTGGGCTCAGGACAGGATATGTTGTTCAGTCATTTTCAATCATGTCCTACTCTTAGTGACCCCATTTGAGGTTTTCTTGGCAAAGATACTGGAATGATTTGCCATTTTCTTCTCCAGGTCAACAGATTAGACACTGAAGCAAACAGGGTTAAGTGACTTGCCTAGGGTCACACAGCTAATAAGTATTCAAGGCCATATTTGAACCCATTTCCTGACTCTAAGCGTGACATTTTATTTACTGTGTCATCTAGCTGCCTAATTTAATTTCACGCTATTAAAAATAATGCTTGGGTCTTGCATCTTTAGGGTTGCTTTTAAGAATTGTATTTTTAATTAGAGAAGTTTTTTTTAAATTGGTTTTTATTTTGTTCTGAATCAGAAATTTCTCTCAAAGTTAATGTGCTTGTTGATCCCCATCAAATATCTCTTTCCATCTAATTTGAACATTACTATTGATTTATTGTGATTCAGGCAACTGTCTTGTCATTGCCTAAAAGGTTGCATCTTAGAATCACAGATCAGAGATCTTAGAAGCCACTGAGTCCATCTCCTCATTTAACAGATGAGGAAACTGAGGCCCAGGGAGGTTGAATGACTTCTCCAAGGCCACACAGGTGACCAGTAAATGTCAGAAACAGGATTTGAACCCAGAATCTCTGAATCTAGATCCAGTGTGTGTCTCATTGTACCCTGCTGTCCTGAATTACTGGATGGAAAATGTGGGGTTCACAGCTTTAAGAAATCTGGCAGAGAATTTGATGATGGAATTTAGAATAAAGGACTGTCTTTAGCAAGGTCTGCCATTTAAAAAAAAGGCAGATTTTTCATTTGTGAGCTAGCTTTTACATTTGATGCTTTTATTCATCATTTATTTTTGCTGTGATTTTACACTGCTTTAGCACAATTTAATAGCAACTGGCTCTCCTCAATTTCCTCTTTTAGTTATGGCAAACTTAACTTGGATGGACCTCAGTTTCCTAATTTGTCAAATGAAGGAGTTGGATTAAGTAATGGTTAAGATCACTCCCAGCTCTAAAATTTCTTTAATTCTATGACATTTAGCCTACAATGCTCTAATCTGGTGCTTATTGTTGTCCCATTAAGACAGGTAAAGTAATTTGGTAATGGGCTTTATGAACAGAGATGCATACATGTGTGGGCCACTTGAATTTAATTATGTGATTAATTATATTTTGACTTCAATTACAATTACTAATTGATCCAGGAATGACAGTCAGCAATAGTCGTTAGAAAACTAGAATAGAAAGTAGTTAGGCCCTATGGTCCTATAAGTTCACGTGTGCTAAGAAATTATGTAAATTAGATAGTCCATGGAACTCACCTTAGACCCTGAGGGCTTTTGGGAATTTATTACCAGGATCATGGCTTTGAAGTTGTTTAAGGAAAAGGCAGTACTTTATGTTTTCTAGATAACTAATAAGTAGATGTCTGTTCATTATATGTGTGGATACAGGTTGAAAATAATGTAAGAGTATGTGGTTTCTCTGAAATATGAAAATAAAACCTGCCATTAGATTGAAACCAAATCAAACAATAAGCATTTATCAATCACCAACTATGGGCCAGGCATAGTGTTATAGGACTGTGTTCTAGGGATGATAATGATGACGAATAAGAAAAAATAATAATAATGATAATAATAACATTTATATGGCCCTTTAAGTTTTGTAAATAATTTCTGAGGAATCATACTTTTCATATCATTCACCTTGTTAGCAGTAAACACTTTTGCTTCAGCACTTTTTCCTTTTTTAAGGTTTGCACACTCCACAGAGTACAATGCTTTGTGTTCATTTATGGTATTTATACTTCTTCTTTCTTAGATGATAACACATACTATGTTTTTACCTACTGGTTATAAGAGACATATTAGAAATCCACATTTTTACTAAGTTCCTTGGTTAAAAAAGATAATGAACTGGGAAGTTTGAATTCTGAATAAATATCACAAAAGAATCTGATGTTTAAATTCATGAATAATTCAGAAATTTGTAGGAAAAAATGAAGAGTATGGGTAGGAAGACCATTACCTTGAAGAAACATTAGGAAAATAATCTTAATAGCACCATGGAATAATGATAGAGATCCTAGGAGACAAAAGAGGTGGGTTCAAGTCTTGCTACTAATACAGGGTAGTTACACAAATGTGGGTGGACTGCTGAACCTCTCAGTCCTCTAAGCAACTTTCTAAAACCACAAGTTGCATGTGGGTGACAATCTGTATTAACATAAGGAATTTCCTCACATTTCCTATAACACTGAAATCGCAAACCTGGTCCAAATAATGCCAATAACTGCTTAGGTTTATGTAGTGCTTTAGAACTGCAAAATATTTTATATACATGGTCTCATTAAGTCTTCAGAATAGCTTTATTATATAGGTAGATTTTATTATCTTTATTTGACAGATGAAGATACAGAGGTCCAGATTACTTGAGAAGCATGCCTGATGTCATTTATTCAGTACATGGTAGAGTAGGGCCTGGAACCCCCATCTCTAGACAAAGTATGATTTTTATTTCTGCTACATCATGCTAAATGATTAACATTCCAAATTATTTTGATAAATTAGGATAGTATTATAGACTTTGATATGAAACAAATAGAAAGAAATAAAGTAAAGGAAAGGTAGGAGCGAGCATGAGGAAAAACAAAATATTTTCTTAATACCTCATCACTGAGTTATGTGGTTAAGATTATTTTTTTCTTTTGGCTGGTAATCATTTTGTATGCATTTATATTAAACACAAGACCTTATCAGGATCATAGAATCACAGAATTTGAGATTTGAAAAGGGACCTTAATGGCCATTTCCTCCAATATCTACACAAAAGGAAAATTCACTATAAAATACTCAACAAGTGATTATCTGTATTTTGGAGACAAAGATGTTCAGTAGCTATTTCTGCTAACCTCAGTTCTCATCAGGAAGTGGTGTTGAGTCTATGCATTGGAGAAGTGATGAGAAACATCTTAGAAATGACACGTCTAGAGACAAGCAAATTATCATTGGGTTGGCATAGGCTCATAATCACTGTTTCATTTTTTTTTCCATTTTTCAACAACCTGAGGTAAAAATATAATTCCAGTATATCTAAGGAAAATGGGTTACCACAAGCTGATCACATGGAATTAGCTCATATTTTGATAATACTTTATAGTGTATGAAATATGAAATACTTTCTCGTAGTAAAAACATTATCCTCATTTTATAGATGAAGAATTTGATGCTTAGACAAATTAAATAACCTGTCAAAGTGCACGTGGCTAGGAAGTGGCTAAGGGCATTTGTGAATTCAAGTTTTCTATTACAAAAACTGTTGTTATTCCCCCTTCATTATGCTGGGTTACTTTAGTACACATTTTTATGGTATATATCATCCTTTTAATTTAATGAGCTTGTGTAGCTAATTACTTTTAGAAAAAGTTGTAATGTGAATTTTGATGAAAGCTATCTACAATCTTCATTGACTTTTTTGCCTTTCCTCCACCATACTAGAGCTCTTTCACATGGCATGAAACCCTTTGGCATGAAACCCAGAAAATTAATGGAATTAAGTGTTTTCTTTTCACAAGACTGGTTGCTCACTATCATCTATTATCATGATTCTTTGAAGGCAAAGTTGAAAACAAATATACAAGACTCACTCAATAAAGTAGACTTCCCCTTTTTCTGTATAGGCCATCTCCCAATTATCAGGCAATGGGCCCAATTCATCATTTTCTTCAGGTTTAGTTGGCTTCACTATATCCATATCCTCCTTCGATTCCTCAGGCTGAGTGTATACTGGCGCAGGATAAGGCTGGGAAGGCATCTCACCTGAGGCACCTGTACTCTTGTCTTCATGCTCACTTGATTCTAGGAAAGAAGAATATAAATAATAAAAGAGTTTAGTTTGTTCTGTAAAGATTTTTCCCAAATGCATGTGTAAATAAGTCTAGGGATAGACAAGCAAATTATCTTTGGACCTAAACTCACTGACCCTGCTCTCCCTCCCTCCTCTCCATGTCTAAGAAAAACAATACAAAAAAGAAACATTTCTCATCCATTTTATAATGAAGAAAAAATGATTTACTCTGTAGACTAAAAAAAGATCTGTACCACAGTCATAAAAGTTTTTTGCTTCTTTCTCTTCTTTCATTCTAAATCTACACTAAATCAGTACCCCATTGATAATTTACAATATCATTTTGTTCTTGTCTTTTAGATTGATATCTTCTTCTCTCTTCTTTTTTCCACTTTGTCATGCCGTCTTTTTTTTTTTTTAACTTCTTCTTGTTCCTTTTTCCCTTCCCCAATTTTATCCCTACTAATAATTCAACTACATCTGCCTGGTAACCCACTGGTAAACTTGCTGACACATGTGACCTGTTGGTGGCACTCAGAGATTACAGTTTCACTGATGTAGAACTGACAGTGGTCAGCTGGTCTGACTCAATGATTTTATAGATGAAGAAACTGAAGTTGGAGAGATTAAGTCACTTTCCCTATGTCATACAACTAATAAGTGTTAGGACTGGCATTTGAACCTGTGTCCTCTGGCTATAAAAGCCAGAGCTTTTGTAATGAAACGTATGAAAGACAGCATGGCATAGTAGAGAAAGGACAAGATTGGAATCAGTAAAGTCTCATGTTTAAGTGCATCCTCTAAGATGTACAATTTGTATGATGGCCAAGTTATTTGGCCTGTAAATGAACTAAGCAGCTCTCTAAGATTATATGACAGGCACGTTGTCAATCTGTATCAAGTGGAGGGAGTTTCTATCCAAAGAATTCTCTAAATCAATGAAATCACAGGGCTAGACTGAAAAAAGAAAGAAAAAATAAAAAGCTTTAATAGGAGTTTACTGTAGTCCAACTGCCTAAAAAGACACACAAAAGAACACAAGTACACAGGAACAAAAGCTTTTTTATTAATGTTTGCTTTCAATTATCTTTCCTGTAGACTTAGCAAAATGCATGGCAGTCAGAGAAAATGCCCAAAGTTTCTATGTTCTTTGCCCCCCAAGGCATCAAGTCCTTTAAGATATGTTTACAATGTGTAGCCAAAAGTTACCTTCTCAGGTTGTAGTAGAAATTATTCTGACCCCCCCTATAAAAACAAAACAAAACAAAACAATTCTTTTATCTTATACAATACATGGACATTTGAGGTAGAGAATATTTATGGAAATTACATAAAGGCATAGCAACAAATATTTATCTTCTTTTAGCTGGTTATGCCATTTTTCCCCCACCTATCAGTCACCCATCTAGGATGCTGACATGGAAATTTTCCAGAGGAAAAAATGTAAGTTTGTCAGGATGTTCTTTTCCCTATTAAAAAGAAGAAGAAAAAAAGCTCCCATGAAAACGGTGAAATGTGATAATAAGTGGTCAGGCCCTCTAGCTGGCTGTGTATATAGCTTCTAACTTAGCAAATGTAAGGAAGAAAAGTAGAGGGGTATAATTGAATTCCACTGTAGGGAGGCTGGGGTATTACTCATAGAATAAAGTACCACTTGAAAAAATCAGTCTTTTAAAGACTTAGTGTATTTATTTTTATCGTCATATCTGAGATCTATTGATGACTAAATCATGTTTTCCTATCCTATAACTCCTCCATGATAGTGACCTTTTCATTCATTCATTTATTCATTCATTCATTCATTCATCCATTCATGCTTTCTTTCAATAAATCATAACCTCAAGTTATAAATGCAAGCTACTGTGCCTTGACATCCTGGGGAAAGAACAAAAGGAGAGTTATCTTTTCAGATAAATGGGCTATTAGTGTGCTCTAATAACTAGATATTAAACAGACTTTTAGTCATATGAAAGAGGCAGCTGGGTGGTGCTGTACACAGAAGAGCTGTCCCTGGAGTCAAAAATACTTGAGATCAAATCTAGACTCAGCCACTTACTAGCTGTGTAACCCTGGGCAAATCTCTTAACCTCTGTTAACCTTAGTTTGATCTTTTATAAAATTGGCTAATAAAAGTACTTATCTTCCATGGTTGTTGTGAGGATAAAAATGATATTTGTAAAGTGCTTTGTAAACCTTAAAAACACCATATAAATGCCAGCAATTTTTATCACTATGTGCTTTCTCTTATCTAGTTTTGATACAGTAGATTAACTCTCATGCTGAATAGCTCTCTAGTGCTCCTTTTCTATTTATAAACAGGTATCACATTCTTCTTAATATATTTACACTCACATACAATATATGTATGTGTGTACATATATGTATACATAAATACATATATACGTTGTATACTATATGATACATTAAATAACATTCCCTCAATCATGCTAAGGCTGTCGTCTTATTTACTACCAAATTTCTAGATAATCTATACTCACTGAATATTAACTCAACATTGACCCTTTCTTTGGTCTCCTACAACAAGACTTCTAACCTCAACTATCTACAGGGATTACATTTTCCAAGGTTGCCAGTTAACTCCTAATTACCAAATTCAATGCTTCTTCTCAGTCCTAATCAAGCTTGACTGTTCTGGATAATTTACAAGTTATTCCTCCTGGATACTTTCTTGTCTACTGTGATAACTTGGTTTCTTGGTTTCTTGGTTTCTTGGTTTCTTTAACAAAGCTATCTCTATTCTGATTCATCTTTACTTCTCAAGCCACCTTTTTTTTGTGCAGAGACAAAATCAATTATTTAAAAGTTATATAATTACATAAAAGTTTGAAAATAGGTGTAATGTATAACACTTGTTGACCTCCCAGTTCCATGAAGGGTTGGTTTGACAGTGTCTTCTCATATCTCTTTGTTTGGGTCATGCTTGATCTTTACAGTTTTGTTACATTTACTTCTCATTTTTTTGGTATGTGGTTTTTTTTTCCATTTACATTGTTGTAGTTATCATATAAATTGTTTTCTTGGCTCTACTTGCTTCATTCTGCATTAGTTCATCCAAATCTTTCCATGCTTCTCTGTATTCATCACATATTGATATTTCTTGTGGCAGAGTACTATTCCACTACAGTCATGTACTACAATTTACTTAGTCATTCCCCAGTTGATGGGCATACACTTTGTTTCAATTTTTGCCATCACAAAAACTTCTGATATAAATATTTTAGTGTAGGTGGGGTCTTTATTTTCATCATCGATGGCTTCCTTGGGGTACAACCTTAGTAATGAAGTCTCTCATTCAATGGACAATTTAGTCACTTTATTTGCATAATTCCAGATTGCTTTCAAAATGATTGTACCATTTCACAGCTCCACCAACATTGTATTAGTGTGCCTATCTTCTGTAATCATTTTAGTTGTAGAAACTCTACTAACAGTACACTTACAAGGTCTTGTACCTCCCAACAACCACTTCACTTTTGACTATTGCCATTTTTTAATCATCTTTTCCAATTTTCAGGGTGTGAGGTGAAATCTCAGAGTTGTTTTGCTAATCATTTCTCTTGTTAGTTATTTGGAGTATTCTTTCATGAAGCTGTGAATACTTTGTAATTTTTTTTAGAATTGTTTTTTTCATATCCTTTGACCATTTATCTACTGGTAAATTGCTATTAGTCATATATATATATATGCATGAACATATTATATGTATATATATACACATATATATGCATATCCATGATATATATATATACATGTAATTTACTAATTATATATCTTAGATATAAAATCTTAATCAGCAAAATTTGATACAAAGATTTTTTTCTCATTCAACTGCTTTCCTTCTTATTCTAGGCACATTAATTTTATCTGTGCAGAAACGTTTCAGTTTCACATTATTTTATATATATATATATATATATATAATTTTCTGTCATTGCCACTTTCTCTTCTATGGTTAAGAATACCTCTCCTACTCACAGCTGTGAGAGGTATATGATCTGTTTCTCCTCTAGTTTTTTTAAGCAGTGTGATCTTTAATATTAAGATTGCATACACATTTGGAATGTGTTGTAGAATATGGTGTAAATGCTGTTCTAAGCTTTATTTCTGGCAGATTGCTATTCAGTTTTCACAGCAGTTTTTAACCAATAAGAAAAATTTTCCCTTGGTGATTTATTATATAATTTGAGATCTAGAAGTATTATTTCTCCTTTATCTCTACTGCTTTTCTTCATTTCCTTGATTTTCTAGATCTTTGGTTTTTCCAAATGAATTTCATAATGCAGGGCTGGTTCAATATAAGGAAAACTATGAGCATAATCCATCATATCAACACCCAAACTAACAGAAACCACCTGATCATCTCAATAGATGCAGAAAAAGCTTTTGACAAAATACAACACCCATTCCTATTGAAAACACTAGAGACCATAGATATAAATGGAGTTTTCCTTAAAATAATAAATAGCATCTATTTAAAATCTTCAGTGAGCATAATATGTAATGGGGACAAGCTAGAAGCATTTCCAATAAGATCAGGGGTGAAACAAGGATGTCCATTATCACCGCTGTTATTCCACATCATACTGGAAACATTAGCTTTAGCAATAAGAGAAGAAAAAGACATTGAAGGCATTAGAATAGGCAAAGAAGAAACAAAGCTATCACTCTTTGCAGATGACATGACGTTATACTTAGAGAATCCCAGAGAATCAAGTAAAAAACTACTTGAAATAATAAACAACTTTAGCAAAGTTGCAGGCTATAAAATAAACTCACATAAATCATTGGCATTTCCAAATGAATCTCATAATTTTATCAAATTTTATAAAGTATCCCCTCTGGTAATTTGATTGGCATAGTATTAAAAGTATAAATTAACTTTAGTAGTATTGTTATTTTTATTATATTGGCATGGCCTACCCATGAGCACTGAATATTCCTCCAGCTATTTAAGTTGTTCTTTATTCCTTTAAAATGCACTTTGTAACTG